TGCGTCTAGGGAGCCTTCCTCCCCTGCCGGCAGGAACTCGCCGCAGCCGTCAACCGCGTGGCCGCCGATGCTGACCGCGTGGTTCTTAAGACACTCGCGGTAACGAACGCCGGGTGCAGGTTTACGGTTAACGGGATCCGAAACGCCGGCTGTTGCGGCGGCGGTAACGGTTGGCTTTTCGCGGCCAGAATTACCGAGGCCGGGTTCGTAGTTGGAGAGTCCCATCTCCTCCTCGGCTTCATCATGGTCGTCGAAATCCATGGCGAATGAGGGGAGGGAGGAAGATAAGGGAAAGCTACAGAGAGTGTGGACACCAAAAATTCACACAAATTTTTATTTTTTACTACTCAGCTCCGGAGATCGCTTTTGGCGATCCCCAGAGCTTCTGGGAATGAAAAAAAAACTACCGCTTTGCTTCTCCGCTTTACCATTCTGATCCCGGTTTCTTAACCAGTTCCGCTTCTACTAAATCCCACTATTTTTTTGTTTTCTAGTGTTGGCATCTATTAATGTGTATATTAATTAAATGTTTAATTATGATTAAACAAAAAAATTTTATGATTATATTACTCGTCAATATCTTTCATTTTTTTTTCTCTCACCATTTTTAATCATATAAATATGCTCATTTAATTATTGCTTTATTACTTTTTTTTTTCCTTTTGTTGTCAATTGAAATGACAGAAATGTTTATACATGTAACTTTATTTAATAGCTAAAGATTTTTATAGGTTAGAAAATATTAAAACCTATTTTATTAAGCATATATTTTATGTAATTTGAATAAGTGGATCAAAATATAATAATATTCATTTTCTTTTAATTTATCAAGTGCTTGTCACATCTCATGCTTGTGTGCAGCATGCATCATAGTCCCCTATATTCATTTTTGCTCTCCTTAGATTTGCCTTCTATCTTAGGATGGTTTGATGAGGGTGTCTTTTGCTTACTCACTAATTCTAGGTGGAGTCTTTACAATATTGATTGTGGTTCATGATGAAATTATTCATATTTTGGGGATTCATCCAAATTTCCTGCATTGATCTTAGATGGAATACAGAAGCATATATGCTTTTTTGGATGCCCTGAAAAAGTTGTGATGATACCTACAATCCTTTAAAGAGCTCAATCAGTTATTTGATGACTTGTTATCTGTTTCGTT